TTCCAACATTGTGGCCATCTTGAATTCTTTTGTTCCTAACAGCAAAACCGTCATCTTTTTTCCACAGAGTGGTCCTTGAGTTTGTCTTCTGAACTTGAGAGGTTGAATTTTGATTGTGGTTCAAAAGTTGATTTGCATGGAGCTTCCCTCCATTAGAATTTTGGTTTCCCTGCGAGAAAAAGATTCACTTCTTCACTTATAATGTTATCAACACGTGAAAACTGCAAGAAAATATGATATGAAAATTGCTTTGATGTTTTTTTTTTTGTATATTAAAATGTATAATCTAAAGGCTAATGCAAGTTCATGACTCCTAAGTAAGACATAAATGCGAATGTTGCCAAAAGACATTAGTGCATACTCATTCAGCAACACAATGAACTCAACAACGACATCAAGCTCCTCACCATATATGATAAGTTTTACAATTCATAACCCCTAATAGAACAAAAAGTAACACTGTGGAGAAAAGGTAGATAGATGATAGTACCTTTCCAACCATAACCCTTGCACCATCATCATCTTCCCATGGCTGTCGAACCCGGATATTGGTTTTTCTGACTTTAAACTCCTGAGAGGATCCAAGTAATCTGACAAGAATGTGCATTTTTCCCAAAACCTCTGAGATTGTGGCAATTTTCCATGAGTTGTTATCAAACACCTCTACAACATCACCAGGAGCCCAAGCCCCTTTAACATCTAAATGAGTGTGGCAGGGTACGATGACCTTTTGAGACACCTGCTCCACCATAGCATGGTTGCTGCCACCCTTGGACTTAACATGTCTAACTATGTAATTGGCACCGTTGCTTCTTATCGCTTCCATCAAACATTGTGGTCCTAAAGGCACCTTCTTCTTGCTCAATATTTTCAGCTTACTCCCGTGTTTGAATTTCATGATGTGTATCCCAAATTACTAATCGAAATCTGTTATCAGAGTTAAAGAAAACACGAGTTGAAGCTAAACTGACATCATTCAAGATTGAAGGACGGAAATTTATAATATCCGAAAAATTGTACAAAGACTACACATCACTCAAAAATTCAATATAGGAGGATCCAAAACTATGAGAATGAAAACTAAAACTCTTTCTCCAAGACTTATAGTTTAGATAAACATATTCACTCTGCAAAAAGTTAATGAAAAGAGAAATGGAATAAAAGATCAACAGAAAAGGAGAGTATCCCAAATGTTTAAGCCATTTATCATCTATAATTCTACCATTGGAATGTCAAAATTATAAATAGCTTAGTCTTTTCAGGTCTTGATCCAATCGAAAGCAACACGAAACAGCCTCCAATTCGATTTCTTTTTTCTTTTCTTTTTTTCGTTTTCTTTGTGTGTTTGCTTATACTAATGCCTTTTGTAATCGCTAAAATATCAGACATCAAGCAGCACCATCATCGATACTGTTCATAAAATCATGCTGCAGAACAGATAAAAGCAAATCAAAAGAAAATTCATACCAAAAAGTACCCTCTATGTTGATCAGAAAATGTAATGAAAGAACACACAAACTAATTTCAGTAAGGCTGCTCGCTGGAAAGAGGGGAAGAGAAGGAAAAATGAACAAAATCTTGAATAGTTCCTCGATCATGCCATAAAAACACAAAATATTCATCAAAACAAGTTCACGAAACTGATTAGTCTATTATCGATTTCTTTGTACAATATCATCCAATCCCATGATTTCCCTTACGTTTTCCACTGCTTTCTGAGCAACCAAACACCATCCTGAGAAACGAACAACCCCCAAAAACAAGAAAAAGAAATAAGGAAAGAAAATTATGAGCATCAGAAAGAGCATCAAGATTTAAGGAAGTGCTGAAAATGGAAATATAGATTGAAGCGAAAAGAAGATGGAATTGAAGGAAGCAAAAGGAAACGAATTTCACTGACCCTTTTGAAATGCAGCGAGACAATTGTTATTCCAGGATCGTCACAACCCTCTTTCTTTCTATCTAATTTGTGCTTCAATTTTGTGTCGGTCCTTATATTGGATAATTAAGCGTGATTTGCTTTTAATTTTTAGGCCATACTACGAAGGCCCAGAAAAAGAATGGAAATCAAATATTTATTTATAAATAAATAAAACTTAATAAATAAACAAAGAATAATGGTATGGTTTTTATGCTCAACTTGGCAACAAACAGCCCAAGAATAGCTTGTTGAGTTGGAAATTGCCTGTTCATCATTCTCTTCTTCAAAGCAAGCACTATACCCAATTGAAATTTCTGGGTTTTAATCAAGTTCTTGAGGAAAATGGATTAAATTAATTTTTAGGTCAAATTAAAATGGAATTTATGCAATGAGATGTGGAGGAAAAAAATGAAAACTTTCCAATCTTTTATATAATCAAATTTCATTAGCCAAATCATATACCAAACATCTAGGCAAATGCTTAAAAATTTGGTAGGTTTGGCCACCAAATCATAATATTTATGATCACTTCTCACAGTTCTTTTAAATTTTATGAAATTCTCAAGTAATTGTTATAAATTGTTTATACTCATTTCATTGAATATATTAATACGATCTATTTGTTTAATATCAATATTGTAGGTAACCGTACATAGTCTGTTAGGAGAGAATAAAACGATCCAAAATTGGAATATTGTTAGACTTGAATGAGAAGGCTTAACATGTTGGCTGTTGTGAATGGGTGTGTAAGTTTGAAGCTCACATCAGTAACTTTGAAGCTCACATCAGTAACTTTGAAGCTCACATCGGTGATATTATAGTTATCCATTCTCTACTTTCTTTCCCTTTTTCAATCTTTTTAAGATTTGTCTTTGTCTTTCTCTAAACAAGAATATGTCTAAAATATGCGGACTACTCAGACAACTTTTACTATACACTTGCTTTTTTTTTTATTCTCTCTTTTTCATACAAAAATTTGTTCATAGGAAGAGGTTAGTTTCGACGGTACGAACGGTGTGCCAACAAGGACATTGAATCTCAAAGGAGGTGGACAACGGACGGTGTGCTAGCGAGGACACTGGACCCCGAAGGGAGGTAGATACCGGGCAGTGTGCCAACGAGGACACTGAGCCCCGAAGGGGGATGGACACCGTGCGGTGTGTTGGCGAGGATGCTCGACCCTGAAGGGAAGTGAACACCGGGCAGTGTGCCAGGAGGGACGCTGGGCCTTGAAAGGGGTGAATTGTGATATCCCACGTCGGTTGGAGATGAAAACAAAATATTCTTTAGAAGGATGTGGAAACTTTTTTCTAGGAGACACGTTTTAAAACCGTGATGCAATATGTACCAACGGTAGACTTGCGGTATTACAAAAATACTCAAAAGTAGATTGAGTGAAGCAAGTAGTTGTGTAATGTGGAGGTTGAGTAGGGTGAAAGCAAATGAGGTGTTGTTGAGAGGGCAAAGTTTGGAGATGTGTGCGTTTAAAGCTTGAAATTACCTTGAGATACACGTTAATCTCTCTCCCTGATCTACCAATTTCATAGATCATAATCAACCCAGCTTTGCCTCTTTTCAAACAATATTCTCCTAAATCTGTTATAAACTTCATACATATCGCTATGCCTTTTCTATCTGTTGCTTTCAAGCCAACAACTCCTCGTATCATACACGTTTCAGTTTTCATTCGTAAAGAATGAGTGCAGTTTTATTTGAACCAACAATCATAAAGCAGTAATGAGTTACATTATGGATGTGTACTCAAAATTTACCAGGATGAACAAATCCAGAGGATTAAAGCAGAGAGAAGCAGAATGAGAGGAATGAGATGAACTGCATTATGTCCAGGAGGTTTAAAATGTGGCCCCATTTCTTTCTTGGGGGTATCAATCTTGAACAGTGGCAACAGATCAGGGGCTTCATTCTTCAATGGTGGGGAGCTGGTGAAACCCGGTGGCATGTCGACTGAGTGCTCGTCGAAGTTTCGAGACGTGCTTGAAGACCTATGCATTGTGAAGGGGAAGTAGTGTTGGGGGTGAATGGAAGGAGAAAGGAATGGCAGATCTTCTTATATACAAATGCTATTCTATTGGTTTTGTTCAGTTAAGGAGAGAATCAGGCTTTGCTTTAGGAGCCAAAAATGGCGTGGGGAGAAGAGATTTGAAATCCCAAGAGTTGACAAAAGTGATGAATGATGAATGAAGCAAGCTGGGGTGGTGGTGGTGGTGGTGGTGGCTTCATTGAAAAGCTGCTTGAGGGGCAACTAAAGGCATGACCATAGGCGTTTTCATGTGAAAGGAAAATGTGTATCTTGTTTATACACCCAAAAATAACTCAAACAAACGTTTTTCAACCTCCTCCTCTATACTGTCTGTCGTGTATTCTCAAGCATCTTTGGTAACAGTTTTTATATTGTTCAACATTATGGAGAGAAGTAGACACATTTTGGATAAAAAGAAAAAGGAAGATCATGTATATATAAGTAAGAAATTGAGTATCTAAAAAGTAAAACCATGGAACTTTATGCTTAAAGTGGACAATATCATATCATTGTGAAGATTCGTAGAGATTCATGAAAGTTTATGCTCAAAGTCAATTAATGGAGCTTGGTCCCTTAACAATTGTTTCTAGATCAATTGAAGAACATAAAAGTAACTATATAGGCATGCCTACAAGAATTTTAAATATAAAAAAAAAGTCAACTATAAATCGATTGAAAATTTGAAAGTTTGAGATATGATACTTTTGAGATATCAACTTGAACTAATTTTATATTTAAGTTGGGCCGAGTTCTTACACTTTGTTTTTCAAAACACAAAGAACGTTACTAAAACGTTGTACGATTAGGACGGCAGATGCAAAGAGATAAGGATACACGCCAGGTGGCGAAGGTTGTGAAAGTGATACCGTTTTGGGGGAAGAAGAGGAAAAGGTCAAGGCCCAAGTGTAGCACGCAGGCGATGGAGGGGGCCCGAGAGGCCGAGCAGGGAAAGTTGGGCACTCCCCAGCCCAGTGCTGTAGCTATGCCAATTAAAACTACAAGTGCGGACCGGGCGAGGCGGGGACACGCCACAAACCCCTCCAAAAGAAAAGGAAAAAGAAAAGAAAAAAGAACGAAACTTTGAGAGATAGAGACCAGAGTGGTAGAAAGAGATACAATCAATTCACTACAGCGACGACAACAAGAAAATATAGCCAGAAGCACACCCACTTCGGGCTCCTTCACCCAGGTTCACTTTCTTCCTCCTCGATACCCTTTTGGTTTCTGCCTCCAGATAAATTTTTTCTTCATGGGTTGTTGATGTTTTTCCTCTTTTGATTCGTTTTCTTGAATTTTTTTGAATGAAATACACGAGGCTTCATTTTTTTTGGTTTTTTGGTTTCTCTTTGGGGATGGGATGGTTTGGTGATGGTGAGAAGTCGTTTCTGAATCTTGGGTTGTGTTCTGTTGGTGGTTTCTTTGAGGACTTTGTGGGGTTCTTTTTTGCTGCTCTTGGGATTTAGTCATGCGGGAAAAATTGTTGTAATTTCATGGGGTTGGGTTGAAATGCATTTATTTTTGAACGACCTCAGTTTGAGATAGTTTCTATTATTATTGCATTTCCTCTTCTCTCATTCTCGACTCTTTCTTCCTTGGATGGTTGAAAGGGGACTGAATCATGGAAATTTTAGTCGAAAGGATGAAATGAATTATTAACCTTGGATTAAAGTGGCGTGGTTGCATTGTTTTTGGATGGTGTTTGAGGAGATTTGGTCCTTGGGATGATTTCTAATTCAGCAAGTTTCTCAAAGCAATTCCGACACCTCCCATTTCTTGGCATAGGTAGCTACGGCAGGATCCATTGTGAGGCAATCTCTTCAGGTGGCGGTTCACTTGGCCGTTTGTACTGTGAATATGAGTTTTGCTGGCTCTTCCGTTGTCTCTGGTCAATGGACTTATCCCTCTGCATTCTTCTCTGTACATTATATTGTTTTGTGGAAGCTTGAACTTTGTTGCTTGATTATATCATGTCTCCTCAGGTGTTAAAACTGCCAGAAAGGCAATTGAGTTTGGTAAAACCCACGTAGTGAGGCCCAAGGGAAGACACCAAGCTACTGTTGTCTGGCTTCATGGTCTTGGTGATAATGGCGCAAGGTTTTCTTCTTTCTTTCTTTCTTTCTGTTCTTTTCTTAATTTTTTTTTATTATGTTTAGAAATGTTTTGATTTTGTTCGACAGCTGGTCGCAGCTCTTGGAGACCCTTCCCCTACCAAATGTAAGAATATGAAGCTTATCAAACTATTTAGAAGCATTTATACTGCTATTCTCCATGGTGGGAAGATGAACTTGTTTCTTTAGTGTGATATAAACTTGGAGTTACTGATGCAGATTAAATGGATATGTCCAACTGCACCTACTCGACCGATAGCTTTATTTGGTGGCTTCCCTTCTACTGCTTGTAAGCTTTACTGCAATCCCTTTTCCTTTAATTATTCAACGTCGCTCGAACCGGGATCTTCATGCTGCAAAGTCTAGTTATTATTTATGTATTTTACAATAACAAGAGCATCAAGACTGATATCTTATATATTCAAGACTGATGTTCTTGTTAAACCAGGGTTTGATGTGGAAGATCTTTCAGAAGATGGTCCAGATGACTTAGAGGGGTTGGATGCTTCAGCCGCTCACGTTGCATATTTGTTATCAACAGAGCCATCTGACAGTAAGTTTCTCTTGCCCTTCTAAATACTATTTGTTTTTGCTTTTTCTACTGATTGTTGGCGTTATTCTGCTGTAATCTTTTTTACAGTTAAGCTTGCTGTAGGAGGGTTCAGTATGGGAGCAGCTACTGCGCTTTACTCAGCGACCTGCCATTCACTGGGAAAATATGGGAATGGCAATCCTTATCCAGCCAATTTGAGTGCAGTTGTGGGGCTTAGTGGCTGGCTTCCATGTTCAAAGTTGGCTTCTTAATTCTGTCATCTGGACAATCTTTGATCCTTTTAAAATCAATATAAAGCTTCATTTAACGAGTTATCATGGTGATTCCAGGACTTTGAAGAGCAAGATGGTTGAGATGAAAGCTAGTAATAGTGGAGCAGGATCATTGCCTGTTTTGCTATGTCATGGCAAAGGTATTTATGAATTTAGAATTGTTCATGCAGAATATTACGTTACAAATTAGAGGTTGTTGTATTTCTGATAATGGTTTGGTGTGAAACGTAACGTGTTGCAGTTGATGATGTGGTTCTTTATAAATTTGGAGAGAAATCTTCACAGGCATTACGTTCATGTGGATTTCAAGACGTGACGTTTAAATCCTACAACACGTATGTGACTTTGTGTGTGTGTTAAAATCAAGAAACTAAGTAACGTGTTGTTTGATATCGAGTCGTGTTTTGTTTACAGACTTGGGCACTACACCGTTCCTGAAGAGATGGATGAGGTTTGCGCCTGGTTAACTTCAAAGTTGGGGCTATAGAGGGAGGAGGAAGGGAAAGCTCTTCAGATTGCACCATCTTTACTTATGATGTTTAGACAAATTCTTTGCCCTACAGTTTACTGGGAACAAATTTGGCGTGATATATATATATATATATTATACTATATTCCTTTTGAACCTATATTTGATATGGTTTTTACACCAAGATTGGAAGCTGCAGAGATACCCTGACCCATGGAATTTGGATTACTGTATCCTACACTTGATTGTTACTCTTCACTATATATCATTTTCCTGCGTGTTTTGCTTCATGTTCCATCAGACAGTTTTGTCTCAAATTTGTGTACCTTAACTATTGTGAGATGAACGATGAATCTGATTATACTCAACTTTCCTCCCTTTTTAAAACATTATTATATGAATGAGAAAATTTCTTTTGGTAATCCCTATGATACTATGTTTATCTTGAGGTTATACAAAATTTTTTATCGCACACAGGTTGTGACATGTTTATAAAGGAGAATTGTGAGATCTCACATCTATTGAAGAGAAAAAAAAAACATTTCTAAATCGTGAGGCTAACGGTGATAGACAATATCTATTGGTAGTGTTACAAATGGTATTAGATCCAGACATCGAGTGGCATGTCAGCAAGGACGTTAGTTTCTAAGGGGGTGAATTGTGAGATCCTATATCGATTGAAGAAGAAAACGAAACATTCCTTGCAAAGGTGTGGAAAGTTTTCTCATTTTAAATATTGCTTATGAGTCAAAACAAACAATATCTACTAGCGGTGAATTGTTAAACTATTACAAGAATTATTTTACCAATTAACATTTTGTTCATAATATTATAAACTTTCTAATTTGTATGTATATGATGTTTGAGCTCTACAAATCATTGCATTTGCAACTTGATTTTTTTGCCATATCTGATGCTTTTTTATTAGACATAGAAAAAGCACAATGTTATTTCTTATGCCACATTTATTAAGAATGTATCAGAGCTCCAATATGTAACTTAACTCATAATATAACATTGAAACTGGGAGTTGTTTTGCAAATCGAGGCAATACTGTGATCATTTCAAAGGATATGGAAGCAAAACAACATTCAAAGTGATCTCTATGTCTCTTTGGGCCAGTTAAAGCTGAAGTAACACTATCTACGGAATAAAAACAATTCTACTCCCAAACATTTAATACAAAGAAGCCAAACAGTTCTTACTTTTGCAATGGAGACAAGATCATTAGGCGCGGGCATGGGAGATGCGATTTGCAAGCAATAGAAGAGACCTGCCTCTCTGCTCTCTTTCACTTGTGAGATTCTGGGACGAAAGCAACATCTGTGATTCCAGTTGATACTGTCAGCAGCCGCTTATCTTCATCTTCCACAATTTCTGCCGAGACCAGTCGAGTGTCGAGCGACGGAGACCCGGTGGTACATTCTTCCTCTGGAGGAAACAAACCCCAAATGGTAATGCTTATAACAGCATACTTCGTTGGATTCAAGTTTTTAACTACATACGTATTGCATCAGACCACAAGTTCTAGATCAACCCAAGGAGGAAAAATAAAACATTCAAGTAAAAGACCACAAACCTGAGTATTCGTGGTATTCGGGCAATTGTTTGACAGTAGTTACTTGAAGACTTTCAGGTAGCAAACAACTGCACAAAGCACCTGAAGTTTTCACCAGAAGAAGTTAGCAGAATTCACTTATACGCTTGCAAATGCATGCAGAGATCGAGTTCGATGCCAAACGGGCGACATCCATGCCCATCGAATGTGTTCGAGTGAAGTTACAACAGTAAACTATCATCATTCGTTCTTTTATTTGCATCATAGTAAAGACTGAGAATGGAACAATTAAGGAACAATCCATCATCACTTTTCTTTTACATATTTGGAAGGAAAATCGATTCAAGCAGAAAAGTATGCAAAAAAACGAAGTTTCTATTCAAGTTTTCTTAGAAAAGGAGCAGTATATAGGTTTCAATGGCATCAACATAATGGCAAGAGGAATTCAATGAAAAGATGACTGCAAAGGAAGTGAACAATGGTGTGCTGGGTCGAAATCAAAGAGAGCTCAAGATATAAAACTGTTACCCATCCGAGCGAGCCGATTGATCCATCCAGGTATCCGTTTCCCAGTCAATCTGCTTGAGACATCATCAGTAAAATGATTACAGTTCTTGGAAATAAGATGATATGTATCTCCATGATATTCAGAGGCAACAGTTTCAATGAACGTTCTAAATTCAGAGGGAGGCATATCAAGTTTTCCCAACGTGACAGAACATCGGTATATAAAACCCGGACAGCTCCTTGGTTCTACTTCAAAAACTCCACTAGCAGGGAAGTCGTGAGCTCCAAACCCATACTCTTTACCGTGGACTGTGATCAACACCAAACATACTTAAATGAATTCACACGTTAGGTTCACAATAGCCATAACATTGACTTGAAAATTCTAACTTATAATCAAGAATTTCATACATAAATTAAGTTTTACATTAGTTGGAAGCCTTTCTTTTGATCCAAAAATGCTTCAATCTTAAAAACATGATGAGATCACACCAAACCCCCTCTTATCCCTAAAACAAGCATAAACAGAAACACAAACACACACAGAACTTAAGAGATTTTATTTCTCTCCAAATATTCAATGGCTAATCAGAGAAGAAAACAAGATCTACAACAGTTCGAAGATTCTAAGAACAACCCACATTACAAAATCTGATTTCGCTGACCCTGATGATCCGGATATTTCAATGGCAACTACAAGAAAAGATTTTGCAACACCTCATTGAAAATGTTCCACACATCCAGAACCAGCTTCAGATCAACCAATCCAGACAATGGAAGATGATTCGGAGTTCATTCATCAACACAAGATGTTTAAAATCAATCTTCTGTAATTTTGATTCAGTTCCATTGTAGACCAAATACTTGAAGAAATTCCAAAAGAAAAAGGAGGAAGGTTTGAACAATCTTTCTTCAGAGCATCAGATGCATTTTAACAAACATAAAGAGTGCACCAAACACCAAACAAAATCAGGAAGATGAGAAAAGGGGGAGAGGGCAGAAGCAGATACGAAAATCACCTTCAATACCCGAATGAAAAATCCCAAAACCAAACCAATAAGAATAATTGTTGGCAGGGGTGAGATCATAAACGTTCAACACCACCTGGGTCTCGTATTTCTCGTTCCAATCTCCACTTACGGGGGTCGTTTCCGAGGTGCTCTCTGCTCCCATCTTCAATTTTTTTTTCTTTTCTTTTCTCGCAAGAATATCTTTCCTGAATGAATCTGAACTTGAAAATCTAGAAAGAAAACCTCCCAACTTTTACTTTCCCTTCCCTTTTTACCTTACCCTTCTCTGCCCATCGGAGAAAAAACAGGAATAAAAGAAAGTAGGGTCGATCTCCGGCGAGATGGGAAAAAGAAAAAGCTCAGGAATTTCGAAGAAATTATTAACAGAAACATCAATAATATAAAAGTGGCAAATGAGAACGAAGATAAACGAATAGGTGGGCTCCCAGACGTTCGATTTGGTGCACACCCAAATAAATAATATTGTGCTTCACTCTGCTAAATAAAATAATTAAATATATGGTTTTGTTTTTGGAAAATGACTTGTTAGGGTAAAATATAACAACTCCAACCTATTCAAACCTTCTAATTACTTCCTCAAACTTTTTTAAGCTTAAATTTCTTCTTTCTTTTTTTTTTTTCTGCAATGCATTTGCCATCAATTTTACATTTTTTTAAAATAAATTTTGAATCAAAAGTCAAATTACAAAAACAAAAAACAAGGTTTTTTTTTTTTTTAAAACATAATTTTTAAAAATCAAAATAAAATAGTTATATAAACCAAATAGATAAAAAATTTGTTAAATACACCATTAAAAGTTTAAAGATTCATAACAGGTCTTGATACCTAATTGAATACCTAATTGAATTATAGATATTCACAACTAAATTAGTAATTAATTATTTTATAAGCTATATTTTTTTTTAATTATATATTAAAGAGAGTTGTGTTTTATTAGTGGGCCACCCCTAATTTCCCAAAATAATTTCTATTTGAATTGCTGCAATTTATTAAAGTTGTTAGATGGGTAAAGACATGATTTGTTGAATATGTATAATAATCATGTGACACTCCTTGATTGGTGGGCAGGAATTAACTTTAAACAATCCTTCAAATGCATTAGTAAAGCATAGCTTTTTTTTTTTTTTTTTTTTA